GTCACTAATATGCCATTATGTAAAAATGTGAGTATGTAACAGAAGTGAGTCTGTATTATGTATTTGGGGAGTTCAAAACCCAATTGAGTCGAATGTATGAACGATGATATGTCTTGAGCTCTGTAATGTTTTGAACAATCAATAAAAAAAAATAATAATTCCCTGAAGAAGAAAAAAAAAAAAAGAAAATGTTCTGTATCTTAACTGTATCAGTGTCAAGTCCTTATTGTAATATTATACAACAGTTTTACAAAATGTGACAATTTGGGGACAGTACGTAAATGATACATGGATCTCTCTGTATTATTTCTTACAACTTTGTGGAAATCTACAATTATCCCAAAAAGTTTAATTTAAAAAAAATGAATGTTTAAATAGCAATAAAATATCATACAGGTAAGTAGAAACACTTCCGAGACCACTGGGCAAAAGCAGACAACATAGCAAGGATTCACAGGTCAAAGTATATGAAGTCAAAAGAAATACAAAAATTAAAAAAGAAAAGTAGCGCAACTCCCAAAGAACCCCTTGTGTTGCCATGATAACATTTCTTCCTCCCTTGCTGTGTTTGAGTTAATAATGGCTTTACCAGGCCAGGTTGATATTAGGCAAGCTGATGGAATTCAAATCATTTGAGAACGTGGAATAGCTAGCCAGATGTATGCATAAATCTTAGGGATTTCAATTCACAACAAAGGAAGGCACTTAAGGCCCAGAAGCCACAGCAGCTGATTTTCTTTTGGAAAATTTGTTCTTTTTAGGAATATATGATAGTAGAGTGTATCAACATATTCTACATACATGGACTATTGCTTATTCTAATAGGATCCCATTCTTGTGGTTGTATATGGTATGGAGTTTCCATGGTGGTATATTCATTTTGGATCATGGGAAAGTTATGTACTATTACACAGTTTTACTGTGATTCCTATTCCCATCTCCCCTCCCTTACCTCCATTACCCTTTGTCTAATCGACCGAACTCCTATTCTTCTCATTCCCCTCTTGTTATGTGTTAGCATCTCCATATCAGAGAAAATATTCAGCCTCTGGTTTTGGGGGATTCACTTATTTCACTTAGCATGATAGTCTCCAGATTCATCTGGCAAATGCCATATTTTCATTTTTCTTTATGACTGAGTAATATTCCATCGTGTATATATACCACATTTTCTTTATCAATTCATATGTTTAAGGGTACTTAGGTTGGTTTCAAAGTTTAATTATTGTGAATAAGCTGCTATAAACATTGATGTGGCTGTATCACTGTAGTATGCTGATTTTAAGTCCTTTGGATATACACCAAGATGTGGGATAACTGGGTCAAATG